GATAGGGTGGGGCCCGGGTGGCTCCCCCCACCCTGTCGCCAACGGAGAAGAACTGGGGTGGGGCCACCCTGCCCGCTTGGCGGTGAGGACCAGTAGAGGAGCCCAACGCCGTGGGGTGGATGGGGTCGTGGGGGCACGGGTGGCTGGAGGGACCCCTCTGAGCACCACGGGGACCCCAGGGTGCTATAGGGACCACCTGGGTTCCATAGGTACGCCGGGTGCTATAGGGACCCTTCCCCATGCACCATCCACACCCCTGGGTGCTATAGGGACCTCTGGGTGCTATAGGATCCTCCCCCCCAGCATTGTACAGCACCCTGGGTGCTAGAGGGACCCCCCAGGGTGCTATAGGGACCACCTGGGTTCCATAGGTACGCCGGGTGCTATAGGGACCCCACCCCAAGCACCATGCTCACCCCGGGTGCTATAGGGATTGCTAGGCATTATAGGGACCCCCGCATGCTATAGGGACCTTTAGGCGCTACAGGGACCGCAAGGCAACCAACATATAGCCTTCTGGGTGCTATAGGGGCCCCTAAGGTGTTATAGGAAGGCCTGGGTGTTATGGGGACCCCTGGGCCCTATAGGGACACCCTGGTTGCTATAGGAACCCCTAATTACTATAGGGATCCTCTGGGTGCTGTAGGGACCACCAAGCACTGTACAGTTCCTATATGGACTATAGGGACCCCCACGGCATTAAAGGGACCACAAGGCCCCCTGGGTGCTATAGGGACCCCCAGGCTCTATAGGAGCACCCTGGGTGCTATAGGGACTCCCAGGCAATGTACAGCCTCCTTGGTGCTATAGGGACCCCTAGACAATATGGGGACCTTCTGGGTGCTATAGGATGCCCAGGGTCTTATAGGAAGGCCTGGGTGCTATAGGGACCCCCAAGAACTCTACAGACCCCGCCGGGTGCTATGGGGACCCCATGGCACTATAGGGACCTCCCCAGTGCTATAGGGACCTCTGGGCCTCAGCACCCTACAGGGCATGGTGGTCTCCATTCCTTGACCCCATAGGGCACGGTAGTCTCCATGCCCTGACCCCATAGGACAGGGTGGTCTCCATGTCCTGACCCTATAGAGCATGGTGATCTCCATGTCCTGACCCCATAGAGCATGGTGGTCTCCATGTTTTGATGACTCTATAGGACATGGTGGTCTCCATGCCCTGACCCTATAGAACATGGTGATTTCCACGTCTTGATGACCCTATGGGACATGGTGGTCTTCACGCCGTGACCCTATAGGACATGGTAGCCTCCATGTCCTGACCCTATAGAGCATGGTGGTCTCCATGTCCTGACCCTGTAGAGCATGGTGGTCTCCATGTCTTGATGACCCTATGGGACATGGTGGTCTCCATGCCCTGACCCTATGGGACATGGTGGTTTCCACATCTTGATGACCCTATGGGACACGGTGGTCTCCACGCCATGACCCTATGGGACATGGTGGTCTCCATGTCCTGACCCTATAGAGCATGGTGGTCTCCATGTCCTGACCCTGTAGAGCATGGTGATCTCCACATCTTGATGACCCTATAGGACATGGTGGTCTCCACGCCCTGACCCTATGGGACATGGTGGTCTCCATGTCTTGATGACCCTATGGGACATGGTGGTCTCCACGCCCTGACCCTATAGAACATGGTGGGTGAACCTGGGGCCTGAGGGGTCCCCGTGGGGTGGAGTGGGGGGAGGGG